AGAATGTAAGCTCTTTGAGAACAAGAACTTTTTCATTTTTTCATTTGATTCCTTAGTGGTTAATAGAGTTTCGGGCACAGAGTAGATGCCTAATAAATATTTGTTGATTGGTTGCTTGATCTGACATCTGGAGGCCCCCTCATACCTGATAATCAGTCTTAATTGTGGAAGATACAGGGTTGATAGGATGTAGAGTTGAAAGGGACTTCAGAGATAGTCATTCCATTATCTAATTGTCACTTTCTATCATTATATCTCTCCCTATGCCTTACTATTCCTAAACCTATTGTTTGGCTTAGCTGTGTCCTCCAATCCCTCACCCCTCAGTAATATTTCAGGCCATCACTTATCTCTGGCTATACTCTCCTCTCTTTGTAATCTGACCCCTTGGTGCACCAGTTTAACTCTCAAATTCCTTGATCTCTTGTCCTATCATCTCATGTAAGAATTTGAAGACATGCCCTTTATTTCAATAATAATGATAATGATTATAATAGCTAGCATTTATGTGGTGCTTATTATGTGCCAGATGCTGTGCTAAGTGCTTTATAAATATTATGTCGTTTGAACCTCACATCAACTCTGTGAGGTAGGTGCTATTATTATCCCTATTTTACAGTTGAGGAAACTGAGGCAAACAGAGATTAAGTGACTTGCGCAAGGTTACATGACTAGTAAGTGTCTGAGGTTGATTCAAATCTATACTAACCTCCATTCCCGAATTTCTTGCTCTTCTGTTTTATCACTATTAAAAGCTGTGTCCCACTCCCTTATTACTCCTACCTTCTCTGCTCCTACTTACCTCTTACTGAATGGATTTAGAAGAAGTTACAAATCTTGACTGGGTCTTCACTACAACATGGCAATCCCTTTGTTCCTCCCTAAATAATTACCTTTCTCTTTACCACTGCAGCTGTTCCACACCTCTTCTGTCCTCTGTGGAAGCCTCCCACAGCTTCCCCTTCTTTCCTCTCTCAGCTGAGGACCTTGACACATTCTTTACTGAAAAAGATCAAGACCATTTGTTACAGGTTCCTTCCTCTCCCTTTCTCTTCATCTCATGTCCCCTTGAAATTATCTCCCAATATCCCCTCCTTTACTATTTTCTCTTATGAAGATATAGCCTTTCTCATTGCCAAGGCTGAAACTTATGAATACACTTTTAATCCTTCCATCCATTTTAAGCACAGCACATTGCTTCCACTATTATCCTATCTGTTTGTCTTTTTTTTTTGTCTCTCTCTATTTACTGGATTCTTCTATTATGTCCATTTTTAAAACAAAACAAAAAATGCTTGCTAATATAGTTTATAGAGCCCATTTTTCATGTTCAGTTTTTAGATCTTACCATCCCTACTAGTTATTACTCTATATTTCTCTTCTCCTCAGCTAAACCCCTTGAAAAAACCTTTTATCCTAGGTGTCTCCATTTTTTCTTCTCTCACATTTTTCCAAATTCCCTGAATATTGACTTAAAAACTTATTCAATAACAATAGTTTCCTCCACAGTTACTAATGACATCTTAATTGCCAAATCAAATTGCTGTTTTTTTTTCAGTTCTCATCCTTTGTTATCTTTCTACAACATTTGACACTTTCAAATACCTTTTCCTTCTTGATTGTCTCTCATTCAGGGATTTTTGTGACCCTGCTCTTTGGGTTCTTTTCCTATCTGCCTGACTGTTCCTTCCCATCTTAATTTTTCTGCTTAATTTTCATCCACATCACATCCACAGTGGGTGTTTCCCAAGTCTCTGTCCTGGGCCCTCTTTTCTTTATATTTTCTCATTTGGTGAATTCATCACCAAATGAATTAAATTATTATCTCTGTTTGGATGAATTCTGAATCTTTATGTGCAGCCCTAGTCCCATCAACTGGCTATTGGATATTTTGGTATCTTAAACGTAACATTTCTTTTTGTTCTGTTTTTTTTTTTTTTTGGCTAGACAATGGGGTTAAGTGACTTGCCCAGGGTCACCCAGCTAGTAAGTGTTATGTGTCTGAGGTCAGATTTGAACTCAGGTCCTTCCTGAATTCAGGGCTGGTGCTCTATCCACTGCGCCACCTAGCTGCCCCTAAACTTAACATTTCTGAAGCAGAATTTGTTATCTTTCCCCTCAAACCTATCCCCTAAGGAAAATTATTATTATGTTATATTATTTAATAACCAACATTACTCTATGATCCATCTTTTTCCTCTTTTTTTGTTTCTAAAGGGCACAATGGAGAGATGTGATCACTCCCAGCCACCAAGGCATCTGCTCATTAGCCAGCTTGAGCTAGAGCCTCTCCAGGGGACATGTCCCTTGTTCTTGCTTTTCCTTCATCAAAGTTGGGGGTGACCTGGTCTACAAGAGGGAGACTTAGTGGGTAGCTTTATATGTATGTATATATGCAACAGTTTCCTCACTCTGACTGAAGTCCCAAAGCCCCTAAGGGCTCCAAGTTGTGTAGAGATTTAGACAGGTGACTGATATGGCACTGATAGGAGACTGGCCCATCATCCATGGGGGAAGGCAATCTGGACCACTGAAATGAGGTTATTTCTAAATTGTCTAATAAAGAATGAATAATGAGGGGTAGGAACCCAGGAAAATTAATTCTAATTATGCCATGCAAGCAAGCAGATGGGGAGGAGTGGTAATGTCCAGCCTCTTGGTTCATTAAACCTTGACATGCATGTAGCATCTTGGGGTACCCCGAACTGGCATTAATGCACAGCCTGACACATACTCTGAAATATAGTCAACTTGCTGATTGATTGATATTAAAGATGTGAAAACTGAGTCCCCTATAGAGGCATTGACTTGCTCAGTTTCATAGACCTTGTAAGTGACAGAGTCAGGATTTGAACCTAAGTCTTAAGGCTCCAAATTTAACATGTTTTCCACTTTTTCTTTCCCCTTTTCCCTTGGCCCATCCCTTCTCTTGCCTCTTGTCTGTCTCTTTCTCTTATCTTTCCACTTCTTCATCCCATTTTTCCTTCCCTTTCCTGACTTTCTTATTTTCTCTCATTTCCTAATCATATAGATTCCCCCTCCCCAATCCAACCCAATAGTTATCTCCTTCCAATTGTGTTCATACATTTGCAGCACTCAAGACTACATTTCAAGGTCAGTTCTGTGAAAATGGGACAATTTCCTCACATTTTCACTGCCTCTTGTAATATGGCCCCAGGAACAATTTGGGGGATAGGGGAGGGTAGAGTAAGGCAGCTAGATGGGCTCAGTGGATAGAGTGCCAGGGCTGGAGTCAGGAAGACCTGAGTTCAAATCCATACCCTCAACACTCACTAGCTGTATGACCCTGATCAAGTCATTTAACCTCTGTTTGCCATAATCCACTGGAGTAGAAAATGGCAAACCACTCCAGTGTCTTTGCCAAGAAAGCTCTATGGACAGTATGGTCCACAGAGTCATGAGGAGTCAGGCACACTGAAGGACTGAACAAGATGGGGTAAGATCAACATATTCTGAGAAATGAGATTGGCTCTGGGGTTTGACTAATCCCTTTAGGACAAAGGACAGGATGAGAGGGGTACTGTCAATGTATGTTGTAGTCTCTCTTTCCTCTCTTTGGAACTGCTAAGGTCAAAAGTCAAGGAGCAATGATCTGAAGCAGCATGACAAGAGTAGGTGGTTAAAGCTGGTGAGACGTCTTATTCAGACTGCCGGAGAAGATACCATAACAACAATAACAACAAAGGGCATTTCTGTAGCACTTTAAGGTTTTCAAAGTGCTTAAAAAAAAGTGCTTAGAAGGACAAGTATCTCATTTTATCCTCACAACAGCCCTAAATAATAACAGCACCTAAATTATTATTATTATTCCTATTTTACAAATAAAGAAACTGAGATAGACAGAGGTTAAGTAATTTGTTCAGGATCACAGCTACTCTCTGTCTTAAGTTGGATTTGAACTCAGATCTTCTTGACCACAGTTCCTTAGTGCCACCAAGCTGCTATGTCAAAATCTAAGGTCTTCATTGACCATAAGTTTCTATTTCTGACCAGGAAAGCTGGGAAGAACCTTAGCTCTAGCTTTACTTTTCATTGTTTGTGAGAGAGAGAGCAAGAGCCCTTCCCCTCCCCACCCCCCAATTCCTTTTGATGCTCAGGTGCACTTGTTTATATAATTTTCTCCATCCATACTGAATATTAGGGATGGAGGGAGGGAAAAGATCATGAGAGAAAGGAAGAGAGAGAAAGGGAGTGATAGTCTATCTCCTTTCTGGTGGAGAAGAGTCTGCCTGTTTTCCTTTTATTTCAGTGTAGATTAAAGCTGTGGAGACTCATACGTTATATGTCTGAATCAAAGTGGGTGCAGATAGAAGAGAGCTGAGAGTTAATTACATTTAGGTAAGGGCTGGATCCAGATACTTGTAACAGAGTTCACTTTTTAATATTTTATTTTATCTCTAGACTAGGACCACAGGGAAAATCCACTTTCCTTCCCAGCATTTTGCCAAAAGAGAAATGACAAAGCATGGAGACATTTCAGGTAACAGGAAAAAGCAACTTGACTGCTTTTCTCAAATTTTGAGTGCCCTCTAGAGGGGGTACTGAACTGTGTTGAGAAGCTTGCAGCCCTTGCCTCACCCAACCCTCTCCAGATGTAGTCCAGATTAGAAAGGACTAGCCCAGGATATACCACCTTTGAGCAAGAGTCTTTGACTGAATTTTTAGTGTATGTGACAAGAAAAATGGACCCAAACCACACACACCTTCATGCCATGTGATATTACAATAATTACATTCTTTTCTTTGATCATTTGAAACTTCTTAAGGTTAGGACTCAGAAAAATCTTTATTGGACTTTTAAATGAATCCAAGTTAGATACCTCCAGGGAAAAAGCACAGAAACAGTTTAAATCAATATTTATTTCTGACCAAAGAAGCACTAGAAGTTGGATTTTTAAGAAGATGGTTTATCAGTTTCTGTCTGGATACTCTGAGGCTCTCAGTGCTTTTTTTGCATGTATCCAGACCTATACAGTTTTTCACATGGGTTCGGGTGTTGGCATAAATGATGATAACCACCACTTTCGACAGCATGGTTTGTATGTTGTGCAGTGACCAATCCTCTCTTCTATTGTATTGCAACTGTCTTTTCTGCAGACACCTTGCAGCTGAACACATAGTCTTGAACCATGGTACATACTATTGCTGGCTGCATAAAACACAAGGAGCAAAGTCATTAACTCATTCCTGAATCTCTTGGGACTCTTAGGAAGAAGAAACCAATGGTAAAATGTGTCTTTATGCTTTGAAGTTGTGTTTATAGGGATACAAGGTAGTAGAGGGTTGACTAAATTTGGTGACTGAGGGTCATCTTCACACTTAACTTTTCTATTCCTTGACCCCTGTAAGCTCCCTCCTCCCTTTGCCATTCTATCTTTCTGAGATAATTTTTTTGGGGGAAGGCATTAAAAGAAATTATGAAAGGATGCAGTCAGTAGGTAATGCTTGAACTAAAGAAATTAAGGGTTCTAGTGGAGAACGGATGGTAATGAAGACAATGTGCTTAAGAAGATGCGAGCAGATGGGATCAAGGGCACATATGGAGAGGTTGACATTGGAAGAAGGGCCACCTCTTTGCAAGAGGTACAGTAATGAAGAAGACAATTGGGGATGAAGTGAAGGGGTTTTGAGTTTTTGAGAAAGGGAGAAGAGAGAGTTCAAATGATCTTTATTTTCTCAAACAGGCAAGATCCTCGGTTATGAGAGTGAGTACATGGGTTAGTATGGAAGGTTTGAGGAGGAAAGAGAAGGTTTAAAATGTCAGCTGTGGAGAGTAGAATAGAGTACGAATTTCGGGGAAGTTGTTGAGATTGGATAACATAAATTTCGAGGTCAATCCAGTCAACATGATGATGTGACATCCTTCAGCACCATGTAAATAAGTGCAAAGGAGGCAGATGGGGATGGTTGGGAGTCATACAAGGTTAGGTCTTGGCAAGATTTGGACACTGAAAAAACAGGGGAGCAGAAACTCAACAACTGATGATACTGTAGATTTGAACTAAAGTGCTGCCTCCTACATAAGGCATTTCCTTACCCCTCCTCAACTGTTACCCCTCTCTCCCCAAATTACTTTTTTTTCTTTTTCTTTTTTTTGCTAGGCAATGGGGTTAAGTGACTTGTCCAGGGTCACACAATTAGTAGGTGTCAAGTGTCTGAGGCTGGATTTGAACTCAGGTCCTCCTGACTCTAGAACTGTTGCTCTATCCACTGCACCACCTAGCTGCCCTCAAAATCACTTTTTATGCTTTTTGTGTGTTCTTAGCTATGTACACATTTGTCCTCCCAGTAGAATGTGAGTTTCATGAGGGGAAGGATGTGTCCCTTTTGTATATTTATCCCAAGCACTTAGCACAGAGCCTGGCACATCATATCAATCAATCAAACAATCAATAAGCATTTCTTAAGTGTCTTTTATGTGTCAGGAACTATGACAGGAGCTGAGGATGTGAAGATAAAAGTGAGATAGTCTGCCTCTGAACAGCAAATGTCAGACTTTGCTTTAGACTCTCCTTAGAGACTGTGCTGTCCTAACAGGCAGGGGTGCTTGTTTTCTTTTTGGCTGTGATAGGAGGTCATGCACTCCATTTGTCCAATGGCCATTCTAATTGGCTTAAACTCTTGCCTCTCAGAAGCCCTATCTTACCTAAACACAGGACTAAGTCGCCTCCTCTAGCTGAGGCCTTGTTAGATGCCCACCTTGGTGTCTGGGCTTTCTGGCTCTTGACCTTATTTTGCATTGCTTTTTATATTCCTTGTATTTACTTATCTGTGCACATATTTTGTTGAATAAATCAGTCAATCAACAAGGATTTTAAGGCACTCCTCAACTGTGTGGCAGTATGACAGTTATTTTGTTAGGTGCTACAGATTCAAAAACAGATCTGTAATAAATCATTGAGCTTGTATTCTTTTGTGGGAGCCAACATGTGTCCATGTAAGTATATATAAGAATTTTTTAAAAGCCAGACCTGTGATTTATTTATGTAGGAGCTCCTAGTTGTAAAAAGAGCATTTTCTTTTTCTTCCCTTATTGCTAAAGCTAACATTTTTAGTACAGTATTGAATAGCAGTGATGATAATGGACATCCTTGTTTCACCCCTGATCTTATTGGAAATGCTTCTAGCTTATTCCCATTACATATTATGCTTGCTGATGGTTTCAGATAGATGCTACTTATCATTTTAAGGAAAAGATTGCTATGCTCTCTAGTGTTTTTAATAGGAATAGGTGTTGTATTTTGTCAAAAGCTTTTTCTGTATCTATTGAGATAATTATATGATTTCTGTTAATTTTGTTATTGATATAGTCAATAATGCTGTTTGTTTTCCTAATATTGAACCAGCCCTGCATTCCTGGTATAAATCCCACCTGGTCATAGTGTATTATCCTCATGATTAGTTGCTGTAATCTCTCCGCTAATATTTTATTTAAAAATTTTGCATCTATATTCATTAGGGAGATTGGTCTATAATGTTATTTCTCTGTTTTGGCTTTTCCTGGTTTAGGTGCCAACACCATATTTGTATCACAAAAAGAACTTGGTAGGACTCCTTCACCTATTTTTCCAAATAGTTTATATAGTATTGAAATTAATTGTTTTTTAAATGTTTAATGGAATTCACTTGTAAATCCATCTGGCCCTGGAGACTTTTTCTTAGGGAGTTCATTAATGGATTTTTCAATTTCTTTTTCTGAAATGGGGTTATTTAAAGAGAGCATTTTGACACCCTTTCTGCAAGTATTAGTTTTAAAGAATCTCCTGGGGACATTGTCCAGGGTTACATGTATAAGAAGTGGGATTTGAAACCATATTTTGCAGACTCCAAGACCACTGCTCCCTGTGTCTTGATATAAACATATTGTTACTCCAAAAAATTAAAAAAAAAAACAATAAATAAGGTCCTTTTCTTTTTCAATGGTAGAGGGAGGCACTATCTGCTAGGAAGTGGATCAGGAAAAGGCCCATGTGGCTTTTGAGCTAGGGTTTGAGGAAATTAGAGATTCTAAGAGTTAGAATTGAGAAAAGAATACATTCTAAGCATAGAGAGAGGCCAGTGCAAAGGGACAGAGGTGGGCGATACAATGGTTCTTGAGAGCGGGGACTGTTTTTTCATGTTACCTTTGTTTCTACAATACCTATTGTAGAACCTGCTCCTAGTAGGCACTTAATAAATGTTTGTTGAATTGAAGTGAATAAAAAAGAAAAAAAGGGAGTCTGTGCCACAGGCTTATTTGACACATCATAAGAGTGGAATTGAATGGCCATGAGGCCATCATGATGACTGGTTTTAGTTGTAGTATTAAGATACAGATCCAGAAAAACCTAATTTGGCTGAAATATCTGTTGAGATGCCAAAAGCAATAGCAAGAATGATTCTATAGTGGTTTAATGATATATTGTGTACAGGTTCTTAACCTAGGGTCCCTGAACTTTTAAAGTATATTTTGACAAGTGCATTTCAATATAATTGGTTTCCTTTGTTAGCCTATGCATTTTATTTTATTTGTTTAAAGACATTTGTCTCAGAAGAGGTCCATACATTTCACCAGTCCACCAAAGGAGTCTATGACATAAAAGCAATTAAGAACCCCTGGTGTAGAAGATAGACAATCTGTCTGGAAGTCAAGCAGACCTGGATTCAGTTCCTGCATGTGTATTGGCTGAATGAACCCTGGGCAGTCATTTTTCCTTGCCACAGGCAGCTCTGAGACTGAGCTGTAGAACTTCATGTGGAGAGGGGGTTTTCTCCTGGGAGCTTCCTATACCATGATGGCTCTGGATGGAAAAAAACAAGCAAACAAACAACCAAACACTTTGGTGCTGAGCCCAAACCTGCCATTGGACTCCTTTGCATCTAGCATTATTGATTTTTAAAAATTTTATAAAGGTTGTTTGTGGCTCTGTCTTTGGGTGGTATTAGCTGATTTCTATTGTTGATGATGTTTTTATAAGCTTTGACTTCCTTCACTGCCCATTAGATCCCGTGCTAGAATAGTCCTTTCTCTGTTTTTTCCTGGAAAAGGACACCCAAGCCATGTTTCCTCTTTTCTGTCCTCTTTTGGCACAGTAAAGGCACAGATTCTCTCATAAAGCATTGGGGGGAAAAACACCATCAGATCCTTGGAACTAGAAGGAAATAAAGGAATTGGAGAAATCCTCATTCAGCTTAGTTTTCTCCATAATTTCATTGTTCAAATTTCATATGTGGTGATACTGTCATGATGTGTGATAGGCAGCTAGGTGGCGTAGTGGGTAGAGGTCTAGACTTGGAGTCAGGAAGGCCTGAGTTCAAATTCTGCCTCAGACATTTACTTCCAGACAATCTTTAATAGCCTCAGTTTCCTTGTCTATAAAATGAGGATAATTATAGTACTTACTTGATAGGGTTGTTATGAGGAGCAAATGAGAACATATGTAAAGGGCTTAGCAGCCCTTAAAGGTCTATATGTTGTCGTTCGGTTGTTTCAGTTGTGTCTGACTCTTTGTGACTCTTCTGGGATTTTCTTGGCAAAGATACTGGAGTAGTTTGCCATTTCCTTCTCCAGCTCATTTTCCAGATGAGGAAACTGAGGCAAACAAGGTGAAGTGATTTATTTAGGGTCACACAGCTTGTAATTGTCTGAGGTTGGGTTTGAATTCAGGTTTTCCTGACTCAAGGCCTAGTACTCTACTTACTGCATCACCTAGCAGTGTATGGAGGATGGATGGAATTAGGTAGTGACTTGAAGCAAGGAGACAAATTAGGAGACTATTTCAATAGTCTAGGAGAAAGGTGATAAGAGTCTGATCCAAAGTGGTAACTGTATGAGAGGAGAGGAGACATATTTGAGAGATGTTGTGGAGCTATAGTCAACAAAAGTAATTAGATGTCGACGGGTGAAGGAAAAGGAAGAATGGAGCATGACTGTAAGATTGCAAAGCTCAATGATTGGAAGGATGGTGGTGCCTTCCAAAGAAACAGAGAAATTAGGGAGATGGCTCTACTAAAGAAAAAAGGCAGTAAATTTTATAGTGAGAGCTTGAGGTGCATGGCTAATCCCAGTAGAGCTATCCAGTAGGCAGTTGGGATTAGGGCCTAGAGCTCAGGGCATGAATAGCTATGTAGAATTGGGATTCATGTATGTAAGTAACATAGAGTCATATATTTAGAGCAAGAATGCAAGTCATAGGTGATTAGTCCAGCACTCTTTCTTTATGGATGGAGAAACTGAAGATCAGAGAGGTGGAATGACTTGTCCATGGTCATAAAGGTAGTGAGTATCAGAGGTAAGATTTAAATAGTGATCTTCCTGCTTCCACGTCCAGCTTTAACCAGTAAACCATATTTTCTCTTAATGATCATTGAGTCCATGGGGGCTAATGAGATTATTAGTAATCATAACTGGCATGTATGCCAAACTTAAAGGCTTACAAAGTACTTTATATACATTATTTCATCTAAGCCTCAGAATAGCCCTGTGAGGAAGATAGGATGGGCATTATTGTTGCCATTTTACAGATGAACAAAATGAATCTTAGAGATAGTAAGTGACTTGTTCAAGGTCACATAACTGAGATGAGATTCAACGCCATGTTGTCCTGACTCCAAGTCTACCATGTTATTGGCTCTATCAGACTTGTTTTTAGGGAAAGAGAATAGAGATAGAGGAGAGAAGAGGGACCAGGTAGATCCCTGAGGGATGCTCATGCCAAAAGAATGGGCAATGGATAGTGATCTACCAAAGGAGACTGAGAAGGAAGAGTCAGACAGGAGAAGAACCAGGAGAAAGAACTGTCATGAAAATCTAGAAAGGAGAGATTATTCAGGAAGACAGGATGGTTAAGTGAGGGTACATTAGGGGACATTTCCCTGGGTTCTCTTTCTACATTATTATGTTGTTCGTTGCTTGGGCTGGGCTGGATTTTGCTTTGTGCTAATGGTGCCTCCCTCTGGTGTGCTTATAGGGCTTTCCATCCTCAATTTTTTGCAAGGTCAAGTGCCCAATAGTAGTAACACATGTGTCTTATGTTACAAAGTACTTTTTCATGAAAATCCTATAAAATATTATTATCCCCACTTGATATAAGAGGAAATTGAGGTCTAGACATGTAAAATGAGTTGCTTAGATTGATATAGCTAGTAAACATAAGATCTGGGATCCAAATTCTGGTCTTCTGATACAGATTTATAGTTTTTTCCACTAAACCATACCAAATGACTTAGGCCAGGGGTGAGGAACTTGTGGCATAGAGGCCACATGTAGCCTTCTAGGTCCTTGGGTGCAGTCTTTTGACTGAGTCCAAGTTTTACAGAACAAATCTTTTTATTAAGAGGATTTGTTCTGTGAAGTTTGGATTCAGTCAAAGGGCTACACTCGAGAATCTACAGGGCCACATGTGGCCTCTAGGCCACAGGTTCTCCACCCCGACTTAGGCTATACATGATGATCGTATATCCTGCTTTTCCACACACTTTTCTGGTGTTGGAAGCTCATAATTGAGGCCAATCTTAGTATGGTCATTATTGGGTTACGGGATCAGAATATCTCTGGTAGAAGCGACCTCAGAGACTCTTTAGTCTGTATCTACATAGGAAGAACCTTTGCTCCATTTTCACTAAGTAGTCATTTAACAATTAATTGAAGATCTCCAAGTGAGGGCAAAACTACTACTGCTGAGGCAGTCCATCCTACTGTTACATAATTTTAAAGAATATTTTCTTTTCTTTGAACTTAAATTAGCTTCACCTTCTAGCAACTGCTTCTAGTTTCTCTTCTGGACTCAAGGAGAACAAGTCTAATCCCTCTTCTAAGTGAAGGTCTTTCCAATACTTGAAGAAAGCTCATTTATCTTGCCTAAGACTTCTCTTGTCCTGGCTAAGCAGCACTATTTCCATCAACTAATTTTCATATGACTTTCATATGGCATGATCCATGGTATATTACAAGGTCTTTCACTATCCTACTTGCTTTCCTTTGGGTCTTCTCCAATTTGGTAAACTTCGTCTTAAAATGCGATACCCAGAAATCAATATGATATCCCATATGTGGTTAGACCCAGGCAGAACACAATCACAGGATAACTATCACCATTCTTCTTCTGGGCACTATACTTCTCTAAATGCAGCATACAATCATATTAGCTTTTTGGGTTGTCATATCACACAATGGACTCGTATTGTTCTAACAGTAAGCTAAAAGTTTGAGATATTTTTTATAGAAATTCTTTTCTAGTTCTGCCTCCCCTATCTTGACTTTGTGAAGTTGATTTTTTTGAACATGAGTATAAAACTTTACATTCATCTCCATTAAATATCATCATATTAGATTTGGCCCACTGTTCTAGGTTGTGAGATCTTTTTGGATCCCAAGTCCATTCCTTGTTAGCAATCTTCATATCATCTGCAATTCTAGACTTCTTTCTTCTAAACTGAAATTAACCCTTTAATGTCTACTCTTTGGGTTTGGTCATTCAAACAGTCTTTAATCCATCCAACTATTGTTATCTAGCCCATATTTTTATATCTTATCCATCAAGTTAGGATGCTGAAATCTAACTAAACAATGTCTAGAGTATCCACTAGAGTAGTGACTAGTGGGGTTGGTCTGGCATGATGATGGCCAGAACTACCTCCCTGGAGACCTGAAGAATCTTCAGAGTGCTAGGACAAGCCATTGTCATGCAAATTGACTACTGAGCCTGGGCCTGAGATTGGGCTGCACTAGAACTTTACTGACTTCTCCTCATTTATAAACTTCCTGAACTCCCCCTCACACTTTTTTCCATGTTAAAAAGGATAGTTAAGAAGAGAGGGAAGGAAATAAGAATTTATTAAGAGCCTGCTACATATTACAGTGCTGATTTTTTACAAATATTATCTCTTTTATCCTCATAACAAACCTGTGAGGTAGGGGCTATTATTATTCCTATTTTAGAGTTGAGGAAACTGAAGCAGACAGAAGTTTAAGTGACATGTTTGGGGTCATGGCTTGAATGTGTCAGAGGCTGTATTTGAATTCAGGTCTTCCTGTTTCCAGGCCCCAGTATCTGTTATGCCAACAGTTACCTTTTCATTTTCAGAGGATCTTTCTTGACTCTTCTGTAGAACTCTAGGATGCCCTAATTTAAGTCACTGAGAACTAAGGTAGAGAAAGAAAAAGGGACAGGTTCTTCTAGGGAGTGGATACTTTCACCCTCTAACTCAATATATGCCCCTAGGTAGGTCTTTTTAGTTCTATAGGTTGATCTCCTCATCTGAAAAATGACGGGCATGTTGGAGAGATAAGTCCTCTGATGTACTGTTGGTGGGGCTGTAAAGTGGTCCAACCATTCTGGAAAGCAATTGGAAATTATGTTGTGAATGTAACTAAAATATCTATACACTTTGACCCAGAGATCTATTGCTAATCATATACACCAAGGAGGTTGAAGATAGAGAGAAAGGCCCAGTAGATGGTAAGATATTTATAGTAGCATTTTCTATAGTGGTAAATAATTGGAAACAAAGTAGATGTCTGCAAGGTGGAGAAAGGCTAAAGAAATCAGGGTACATAGATGCAGTGGAATTTTATTATGGAGGAAGTACAATACAAAAAGCATAGAAAAACTAATTTGAATTGAGGCAAAGTGGATTCAGCAGAAAAAAAGAGAATATAATGGCCATAATGATTAATAATAATAATAATTTACTAATAATGTAAATATGGAAAGACCAACAAACCAACCAAAAAGTGGGAAGCTATGTAGTTTTAATGACTGAACTTGGTTTTGAAGAAGAGATGAGAAAATACATCTTCCTGCCATATTTGTAGAAGTGAGGGACTGTAGGTGTCGAACTGTAAATATACTTTCAGTCTCAGTCGATATCTTGGTTGGTTTTACTGAATTTTTTCCTTCTCTTTCATTTTTATTCTTTGTTACAGATGAATTCTCTCTGGATTTGGAAGGCAGGAGAAAATTATTTGAAAATGAAGCTGATATAAAACAGAAGATTTTAAAAATGAAAAAAAGGAGAGATGCATAATAACGCATTTTATTTATTTATAATAATGCATTTTATAATGCATAATAAAATGCATAATAATGCATTTAAATGCATAAAAAACCTTTGGGCAGTTAAAGGGTGCTAGGGAGAGTTGCTAAATGTTGATAGGAAGAAAGAGAACTGGATGCTGAAAGTATCCAAACCGATAATTAACTTAACAGTTTGGAAAAGGCCTGGACCTGGATAAACTAATAAAATTGAACTCAACTCTCAGAAATGGTCTGTGGGGCTGAGGTGACCAAAGTAGTGTAGAAAGCTTCCCCAAGCAGCATATCCCCTACCATCACTTCAATCCTACTTTACCTGGTGGTATCAGGGCCACAAAGAGGAGAAGAACAGAGAAAAGGAACACAGTTCTCATGGTGGAAGGAGTCAGTTGAGAGGATGAGCCGCTGGGCTGATAGAGGAGGCTTCAGGTCTCTGCCAGGAAGTCAGTCTGGCCACTTTTTATCTAGGGGCTCCTAATTCTCTGGGAGAATGATGTTCTCCTTGACTGGCCATGCTTAAAGAGCTGGAAGGCACCTCCACTTCTCCAGAAACCACCAGCTTCCAAATTAGGTAACTGATCAAACCATTATATGAGAAAGCAGGTATAGAATCTTTTCCTCTCCATTTTCCTAGACTAGAGTGTCCCCATCCAGAGCTCTATAAACAGGAATTTTTGCATGTGGGTTTAGTACCACAAACTGCCCAGGACAAGCAGCCTGAAGGATGCCCTTTATTGGGGAAGGAGTGAGGAAGTGATGGAGATTCTAGAAACCCAGAATGAGGCCTGTGCTAGGAAGCTTGGCGTATATGGATGGAGGGTGAGGAGGAAGAAGGAAGGCATTGTAGAAGAACTTGCCCTAGTTTGCCATCTAGTGCAGTGTGGTAGACAGTATTGGGCCTGGTGCCGGGAAGACCTGAGGTCCAATCTGACCTCAGATATTTATTAGCTATGTGAGTCTGGGGCAAATCATTTCACCACTATCTGCCTCAGTGTCCTCAGCTGTAAAATGGGTATAACAATAGCATCTGCTTCTGAGGATTGTTGTGTGGATAAAATGAGATATTTGTAAAACAATTCTCAAACCTTAAAGCAGTGTACAAATGCTCTCATTGTCATCATTACTATTACTTTCCTATTTTAACTAATAATTCTTGTTAACTAGGTGCTAAGCTTTGCTGTTTTTACACTGCAAGTGTTGACAGTGTCCTCTCAATTTGGTACCTTGGGACAGAGCCCAGATCACCTTTCCTTAGTTATGTCTCTTCTACCCTCATCCTAAAGTTCTCTGGTGGATGGGTTGAGTCCAGATCACGTGACTGCAGGAGGTCATTGAGATTTCCAAATATGTAGTAAGAACAAAGATAATTCTTTATCCCCTGAAAGACATTAATATTATATGATTATATTAATAACTAATTTTAATTTGTGATCCATCCTTTTCCTTTTGCTTCTTTTAAGACCCCACTCCTGAAAAGGTCAGTCAGTCAGTCTCTGAAGGGCATAACAAAGGAATAAGTTTACTACTAGTCCCCAAGACACAAGCTCCTTAGCTAATTTCCCAACTGGGAAACCAGATTCCTGTTTAGAGTGTAAATAGAATCCACTCTGGGTGAGTCCTTTGCCTGGGGGAAAAAACTACAGCCCTTTATCCCATTCAGGATCATGGAAGAGAAAATTAGCCAGAGAGATCTGGATGGAAATGGCTTCCCCTGCCTAGATTGCTAGAGGCTACTGGGTGTCATGATCAAGCCATATTCTTAGCTGGAGGAACTGAAGACTTTTAACCCATCTCCTCATTAAATGTCTACTACTCAAGGTTGAATTTCACTGATTAGGGGAGTTCCCTGTCAGAAGGTACACACCTCATTTAAGGTGTTTTCAGAGTCTTCCTTGTCTTCTTTGGTTACCAAGAGAAAACACTGACCATCAATTTATTGATTATGAGCTAGCCTAATTAATAAGTTGATTATTAATTGCTTAGAAACTCTGTCTCTCCAGGGTTTTATTCTCGACACCACCTTAATCTCTTTACAATTATAGGCCCAAATAGTTACTTATTATAAATCTTGGCAGTCTAAGGCTGAGAAAGACTTAGTTTACAATGCATTCTGCACACCCTATCTGTGTGGTTGCTGGCTACATGGATTTCTATGTTTTTCAGTCATTTTTCTGTTATGTCTGAGTCTTTGTGACCCCAATTGGGTTTTTCTTGGCAAAGATACTGGAGTGGTTTACTATTTCCTTTTTTTAAAAATTTAACTTTTTTTATTAGTTTATTTTGATTTATCAACAATCGCTTCCATAAGCTTTTGAGTTTTAAATTTTTCTCCCCCTCCTTCCCCACCTTCTTCCCCAAGAAGGTGCACAATCCGATATAGGCTATACATATACATTTCCTATTAAACATATTTTCACATTAATGATATTGTGAGTAAGAATTAGAACCAATAGGAGGAACCACCAGAAAGAGGAAATAAAACACAACAGACGAAAAAAAAATAGCAAATAGTATGCTTTGATTTGCATTCAAACTCCATAGTTCTTTCTTTGGATGTGGATAGCATTTTCCAACATGAGGCCTTTGGAGATGTCTTAGATTCTTGTATTGCTGAGAAAGGTTAAGTCTATCAATATTAGTCATCGCACAATGTGGCTGTTACTGTGTACAACATTCTCCTGGTTCTGCTCACTTCACTCAGCATCAGACCATACAAGTCTTTCCAGGTTTTTCTGAAGTCTGCCTGCTCATCATTTCTTATAGCACAATAGTATTCCATTACATTCATATACCACAACTTGTTCAGCCATTCCCCAATTGTTGGGCATCCTCTCAATTTCCAATTCTTTGCCACCACAAAAAGAGCTGCTATAAATATTTTTGTACATGTGGGTCCTTTTCCCACCATTTCCTTTCCCAATGCATTTTATAGATGACAAAACTGAAACAAAATTAAGTGACTTGTCCAGGGTCACACAGCTGGAAAGTGTCTGAGGCCAAATTTATTTACTGTACAACCTAGCTGTTCCTCCTTACAAATTTCAAACTGTTTGGTTACCTAAAATTGATTGTTTTCTTAAGGATAGAATCACTGGATTTTTGTCTTTTTTTTTTGTAGGATAGTGGAAAGAATGCTAAATCCAGAGTCAGAACAATGGGGCTCACATTCAGCCTCTGAAACTTCTTGGCCTTGGACAAGACACTTCTCCATTGACCTCAGTTTCCTCTAAAACAGGACTGAGAATACTTGTCCTATGACCTTTATACACCTTAAATATCTGTTGATATGTGAGTGGTATTTGTTACTATGATGGATTCAATAGGAATTTATCCCACTCAATAGTGCATTTAAATACTAGTTTAGAAAGATAATAAGGAAAGTCACCACAAGGGCATCTAAGGACAAAAGTGGGAGGACAACCAATAAAAAAAAGTTGAAAAAAAATTATAATTTTTTTTTTACAAACTCCTTTCTCCATCAATGACAATGAAACCATTACAACTAGGTCCAAACATCATAGGCAGAAATGATACTAAACAGAATAAAGAGAAGGAAAGCTTTGGGTTGGACCAAGTGTGTGCAGACACAGGCATGCGCACAAGCGCACTTTTAGGACATCTGTTTTGGAAGTGTCACAATTAGGAGGGCTTTGACTGAAGGGAAGGTGCTTGAGGGGTAGCTAGGTGGTGCAGTGGATAGAGCACCAGCCCTGAAGTCAGAAAGACCTGAGTTCAAATCCAGCCTCAGACCAAACACTTGACACTTACTAGCTGTGTGATCCTGGGCAAGTCACTTAAGCCCAATTGCCTAAAGAAAAGAAAAAAAAAGACAAAAAAAACCTAGTAATTTTGACAACATTTTTATGTCAATGGGATAGGACGTATATAAGTTAATAGTTATCAATATTCATTTGTTCACCTTGATTCATTAGTAAAGGCCATTTTTTTTTTATTCTAACAAAATCAATAGTGGCTAGGAGCAATCAGGAAAGGTCTCATTTAGCAGATAATATTTGAGTTGAGCCTTGAAGGAAAATGAAGATTTTAAGAGTTAGAGATGGGGAGGGAAGGCTCTTTATGTATGGAAGATAGCTATTGCAAAATTATGGAGATGGGAGGTATAATGATTGTGAAGAACAGCAAAAAATGCACTTTGTCTGAGCTATAGAGTATGTGAAGGGAAGTAATGTATGATAATCCTGGAAACGTAGGTTCCTAGGTATGACATGGCCTATCTTCTCATACAGTTCATGGTCTAGTAGAAAGTAAGAGATAAACACAGATAACTGTGATATTCAATATTATATGATAAATGCATTGAGGAATTATAAAAGAGTGCTATGTGAAGAAAGGCTGTCACTAATCAGGGTAAGGGTGGGGTAGCATCAGGGAAAACTTCTTAGAGCAGGTAGCATTTTCATTGGGTTTCATGGGTAGGAAGTTAAACAAAGTGGGGAAGGAGAGAATAGCAAACTTAGGGAACAATGTTAGCAAAAGAACCAGATGGTCAGGTTTATGTTGGAAATAAGGCTTTAGAGAGCAAGGGTGAAACAGTAAAATCTGAAACAGTGCCTCGGGAATCCAAAGGGCAAATCTAAGGAACTGAGGCAGAAATGTGTGCTGACCCACAGAGTCCACAGGCAGGGCAACCAGCAGAGGGGCTTCTTAGTAGTTGTTCGTATAATGACTTGAGAGCTTTTGCTTTATTTTATTTTAATTTTTTTTAATGCTGTGACATTTAAAAAAATCCAAGGGACAACTTCTGGGTAATTTAATCAATTTGTTAATAATGCCAGCAATTTAATAAAAGTATGGTCATTTGTCCATCTTTCTTTTAGACCAAAGACTACTCATGGAGGTGGGCTCAGAGTTTATCTGCCCCTGCATGAGCACATATGACTGAGGGTGGCAATCAACTTTGACTGATTAACAATTAATGAGAAAATGAGAATTACAGTGAGAGGTGGGCTATATTACAATGAGGTCTTGAGGTACATGACTTGGATCACTCAAATCTTGGTCAAAGCGACTTAGCAATTTCCATATCACCTGTTTGACAAGAGGGACAATCCATATTTTCCTAGACCTTTCAGAGCAAACACTTTGGGCAGTAATGAAACCGTTAGCCCAACCTTAGAATTTCTTTTACTGTTTTTGATTAGATTTCAGCTATCCTGACTGGCTAAATCTTTTAGCAAAGATTTCCCACACTGGTTGATTTCTGTATGAAGAAATAGAAAAGAGGAAATATCTTGGTCCTAATTCAATAATTAGTTATTAATACAAGAGAGAAACAATAATTTCTCACATTCCCCCATTTCATTCTATTGAGAGACAATGTTTCCTCAATGAATTACTAACTAAATAAATAACT